ATTCCCGTCGACTGGCGCATAGCTAACAGTTCAGGCAACCACACAGCGTACAAGCAAGTCAAAGGCACAAAGACATCCGCGAACGAAATCCTCGAGCTCTACGAAGGGCTACAGCAAGCGAACCTTACCAACTTCGACGTCCTCTTGACCGGATACATGCCTAGTGCCGAGGCCGTACAAACGATAGGGACGATTGGCAGAGATATCAAGTTCAATGCTGGCACGAAGCCGGGCAGCTTCTTCTGGGGTGGGTTCACACTTAAGGTGGTTGGAGGCAGGACTGACAGAGACAGTACTCGATCCGGTCATGGGCGACAATGGCAAGTTGTATATTCCAGAGGATGAAGTACCAGAGTACAAGGGACTGCTGCGCGAGGCAGATCTCATACTCCCAAACCAGTTCGAGGCCGAGTGCGTATATCCGAAGACCGGTCCAGCACACGCAGCAATTACTGACAGAGACACAGACTACTATCCGATACCCCCATCACCGACCTCAAGTCCCTCGCCGCCGCCATCCAAGTCCTCCATAAGACCTACCAAGTCCCCCACGTAATCATAACGTCCCTCCGCCTGACGCGCGATAACCAGACCATACCCTCGCGCCCAGTATCGAAAGCCGGCACCGGCACCCACACTCCCTCAGACCCCCATCACCTCGACGCATCACCATCCCAACCAACCCCTCAACTCCAAGCCCCCCAAATCGACCTCTCCTCCATCGAAAACCTCACAATCATCGGCTCAACCGCAACCTCAGACTACAAACCGCGTCTCTTCCGCATCGACACCCCGCAACTCCCGCTCTTCTTCTCAGGAACAGGCGATATGTTTGCCGCGCTCACGATCCCTCGTCTTATCGAAGCCGTACACGACGCGTCTACGCCCGAGTTTGATCTACATGCGAAACCGAGCTGGCGCTCACCAGACGATGTGGCGGCGCAGGAACTGCCGTTGGCGAAAGCGTGTCAGAAGGTTCTTGCGTCCATGCAAGCGATACTTACACGTACGACGTCTGCGTGTCAGGAGAAGATGGCTGCGTATGATGCGCGTGCTGCGAAGGAAGGGCGGGGCGAGGGGGATGAAGCGGATGAGGAAGTTAGCAGGAAAAGGCATTTGGCGCTTATGAATGCGAGTGAGGTTACTGTTCCGCGGTATGTCAAGGAGATGATTGATCCACCGGATCTTGAGCGGTTCAAGCCACGCGCGGTGTATGAGGGGCAGAGTGTACCAGCGGATGTTGGGGAGAGGAAGCCGGATGAGTTGAACGTGCTGCATTTGGGTGTTGGGACGAAGGATGGTGGGGCGATGCAGGTGCTTCAGTCGGGGACGCAGGGCAAGATTGTTGGAGAGGGAGAGAAGAAGGAGGCGGGTGATTCATGATATTGGGTTGTGTAGACGTTACGCGTTGAATTCTATGAATGCCAAAGCATCGTCAGTTCGTGGCTACCACCTCATACAAGAAAAAAACTAAACAGGCCTGCGGATTACATCAGGACAAAAACCTGCAAAATGGGTGACCTAACGTCAACGTAGGCTCTAGAGTGTTCATTTTTTTCCTAAGTTGGCGTGCAGCCACCTAAGCCTTCACACTGTCCGCGGCTACTTCTGCCACCTCGGCAGCTTCTGTCGCGGTCTCCGCCGCCTGGGTTGCAACGGCCGCCGCTGCGCCAAAGCCTCCTGTGCTGCCGAAGCCACCGGCACCCCTTACTGTGTCTTCCAATTGATCGACGACGACTACGCTGGGCATGACGACGCGCTCGACGATGAGTTGTGCGATGCGGTCACCGATCTTGACGGGGAAATCGTTCTCGGAGAGGTTGGCGAGGATGACGCCGACGGGGCCGCGGTAGTCTGCGTCGATTACGCCGGCGAGGGTGTCGATGCCGTGCTTGTAGGCGAGACCTGAGCGGGGTGCTACTCTTCCATCTATTGAACAACGATTAGCATGGTGTCTACGGCAACCTCCTCAAGGGCTGGAGTATAGGACATAATACGTACACGTCCCATCCGGTACTGAGATCTTGATATCCGTCGCTACCAATGCTCTCCCCCGCGCTGGAATCACAGTCTCTACTGCACTGTACAGATCGTGTCCAGCAGCGAAAGCGCTTCCCTTTGTCGGCGCCTTGGCATTCGGGCTCAGCAATTGTACCTGCAATTGTTGCTCCGCCGCCGCTGCACTAGCTAATGACGAAGCACCGACTGGCGCTGAAGGTTGTAGTGCTGCCATGTTGTCGTGGCTGGGGAGGTGTGAAGCTGCCAGAGGTGTGGGTGTAGCGGCGCCCGAGTCTGTACCTCGTGGTAAAGTGGAGGCGTGGGAGAGAGGAGTGGGGTCGATGACTTTGGTTCGCTTGGGGAGGGGTGACGATGGCAGAGACGGCGGCTCGTGGATAGGAATTGGCGTGTCTGACATAATTTTTCGAGAATGGAAGTTGGGTTGTTTGGAGGGGCGGTGAGGGTGGATGAAGGACGCGTTTGGTGGGGAAGAGACGACGCGTTGGGGTGCGTTGTCATTGGCTGGTTGGCGAGGAAGGTGCGACTTGCTTCTGTTGACCGTGAGCACCTTTCTCTTTCTATGACTTACTCAAGGTTCTGCATCAGCTTGATGTTTGCCAGAACGAGATACCATGACATCTCCTGGATTAGAGCTTGAATCGAGTGTTGGGTCCTCAGACTACTTGTAACCCTCCTGTAAGCACCGAACTCGTCTCAAAAGTCGATGAGATCTTCCTCTATTGCAGAGTACCACATTGAGCTTGAAATGATACAATGGTAGTGGAGAGCTCCAAGAGCAGATGAGATTGGTGCCAGGTCGAGGAACGTCGCTTGCCTGGCCATCATTGCTTTCTGCTAATGGCGAGGAAAAGTCGCATTCGCTTGCGAGTGTATATATGCGCATTGAGTGTATCCATTTTTAGATCGCGGGCAGGGCTTGTCATTCACATGTCAAGCGCGTACTGCGTTCCGTGGTAGACCTGGTGCTGCGTGCGCATGTTCTTCAGCTGATGTCGTGTCGCTCGTGACCTCGCAGACAGTGGCGGGAACATTGTGGCTTGCGTCGATCCCCCGCATTGACCGCATTGGTTCACACTGCGCAGATGCTGTCGTCATGGCTCCAGGGATATGAGGGAGCGCATGAGACCCTTACAATAAGATCGCTTTCAATTGAGACGTTGTAGCCCAGCCATACAGCAAGGAGGACTTCATGAGAGTGTGTCATGACATGCTCATACCGAGAACACCACTAGTCAGTGCCTCCGACTTCTCGGATCGGAGGAAGCGACTATCCGGCCTGGCGACAGCGTGCCTCGGCCAAGCCGTCTTGGCTCGCGAGCTTGAACGGGGATCCGACGAGCTTGACCTGACCTGCGACTTTGGCACAAACCCGTCATCTCTGCAAAATCGCCATCATCCTGGCACAAATGTCACGAGACAGCTGAATATCGAGTCTCGTGATCCCCATGAAACTCGTACTCCACGGGGAGTCACGCTGGTGTGACGCGCCCCATGCATAGTGGAGGCGACTCCGACTTTACCAACACTCCGTGCCGCGATTCTCTCTAGACACGCCATGTCGGAGCCGCCTTGGTGGATCTCGGTATCCAGACCACATGACCAGCCGTGTTCTGTTCCAAGAACACGTCTCGAGTGGACCCCGATTATTGAGCGGAGTTGCTGCCAGACTCCATGCATACGAGATTTTCGCCTCCAGATGCATTGCGCAGCTAAACACTACCGGACTGCCAGCCCTACATCGGTTAGGCCAAGAAAATCCTCCCGACAGTTCGACCAAGCGCTGGGTGCATGGTTCGAGGCTACCGTAGCCGCCCCATCTGGTTGGCCGAGACCACGCTATCGTGCTCTAGCATGCTTGTTGAGCCTCACGGAGGGCATGGGAACTAATGCACCCCGTTTACCCTGGGGTCTTTCTGCGACTTTGGCGCGGCCAGAAGCAAAATCCTGCACGCTACTCATCTCCCCACCTCTTCGTTATGAGCTTGCTTTCCCACAGACTACCCGCTGGTACCAGCTCTTCGGCCAATGTTAGCAACACCGAGCACCGGAGTCGCGATATTCCAGAATCCTTCTACAACCATACTGCAAACAGTTGGATGCCGTCCGTCTAAGCAATCGCGCATGGAAAGGCTTGTCTGCATACGCGTTGCCAATTGGTGATCGTATTGACCAGCGAAACATCACGGATTCGTTGAGTAATGTGCTGTGCCCGTCTGGCGATCAACAGCAGACGAACATCAGTTGATGGTTTGCTCCGCAACCACGTCTATCGAGCAGAGGCGATGAACGGTGTCTGCCTGCATACCAAGATGCATCCCCGCAGAATGAGGTCAGTGGTTCATGGCTTACACGCACCCGACTTGACAGGTCATGACGGCTAAAGGCGACGCTTACCATCTAGTGTCCTATCAGCTAGCTGCTCCTACGCCCCGTCTTCGCCCCGGCACGCGACTGTCATCTCACTGTTGGGTGCGTGTGCCAGCAGACTGACCATGCGTGTCACGTAACCCGACGACATTTGCCATCGTTTTCCAGCAACACGAACGTGGGACCGCTGGGTAACGTTGCGCTAACTGAATCTCGGCTCCATGATTTCCAAATCTACTAGAATTGGCTCACGATGATTTGAACGCTATGGCATCCACAGGCCAGCGACGTGCTAGTGGTCAGCGTCTGGTCTGCTCTAGCTCCAACACCATCATGGCTAAGACCACCCACTAAGCTACCCCAGTCGCTTCGGACCTACTGTCGCTAGCCTGCTGGCCAGCCGCGGGACTAGCGTGCTCACCCCATGCTTCCAGTCTCCAGACTAGACAGCTGCGCATGGAGATCCCCAGGCTCGGTGAACAGTTCCCCAAATGTACTTAAAGATGGGCAGCCCGCCTTGGAGTGATAGTCATCCTCATCCGAGTACTCAACCATCTCTCTGGACTTGAGTCTTCCTTCCACACCCATTTTACTTCCACAGACAGTTGCCAATCATGGGTCTGATGCTGAAGAAGCCTGAGGGCGTAGCTGGCTCGACCGCGCCCGCCATCTTGGTCGGCCTGTTCGTTGCCTTTGGTGGTGTTTTGTTCGGGTATGCAAACTCGATCCCTCTTCAAGAGTTCTACTAACAAGTATAGTTATGATACTGGTACCATTGGTGGCATTCTTGGAATGCACCACTGGCGACAGCTTTTCAGCACTGGCTACGTCAACAAGAAGGACAACATGCTCGATGTCACCGCCGAGCAGACCTCCTTGATCGTCTCTATCCTCTCTGCCGGTACCTTCTTCGGTGCTCTCACCGCAGCACCCACTGCTGATTTCCTCGGTCGCCGCCTCGGTCTCGTCGTCAGCAACATTGTCTTCTGTGTTGGTGTCATTCTCCAGACCGTCGCCACTGCCATCCCCATGTTTGTTGCTGGACGTTTCTTCGCCGGCTACGGAGTCGGTATGATCAGTGCCACCATCCCGCTCTACCAATCCGAGACTGCCCCCAAGTGGATTCGTGGTACCATTGTTGGTTGCTACCAGCTTGCTATCACTATCGGTCTTCTACTCGCTGCTATCGTCAACAACTCCACAAAGGACAGGACCGACACTGGCTCCTACCGTATCCCTATCGCTGTTCAATTCGCCTGGGCTATCATCCTCTTCACCGGCTGCATCTGGCTTCCTGAGACTCCTCGCTGGTTCATCAAGAAGGGCCGCCCAGAAAAGGCTGCCAAGTCTCTCTCTACCCTTCGCCGCCTCAACGTTGACGACCCGGCTCTTGTTGAGGAGTTGGCTGAGATCACTGCCAACCACGAGTATGAGATGTCTCTCGGCAAGGCCACATACCTCGACTGCTTCCGTGGTAACTTGGGCAAGCGCCTTTTCACTGGTTGCGCCCTCCAGTCTCTCCAGCAACTCACTGGTGTCAACTTCATCTTCTACTACGGAACATCCTTCTTCCAGAACTCGGGCATCAGCAACCCCTTCGTCGTCACCATGATTACTTCCTGCGTAAACGTCGCCTCCACCTTCCCCGGTCTCTACCTTGTCGAGAAGTGGGGTCGCCGCAACCTTCTCCTCTTCGGTGCCGTCGGTATGGCTGTCTGGTAAGTTCTGATATCAAGAAGTGCAAATGAGACATATACTGACTTTCTGCAGCCAATTCATTGTTGCCATCACCGGTACCGTTGCTGGTATTGATAACCAGGCTGCCCAACAGGCCTTGATCGCATTCGTCTGCATCTACATCTTCTTCTTCGCCTGCTCATGGGGACCTGTCGCATGGGTTGTGACTGGTGAGATCTTCCCCCTCAAGGTCCGCGCCAAGTCGCTCTCCATGACAACTGCATCCAACTGGCTCCTCAACTTTGCCATCGGATACGCCACCCCCTACATGGTCAACGACGGACCCGGCAACGCCAACATGGGCGCCAAGGTCTTCTTCGTCTGGGGCGGATGCTGCTTCATCTGCATCTTCTTCGTCTGGGCCATGATCTACGAGACCAAGGGTCTTTCCCTCGAGCAGGTCGACGAGCTCTACGGCAAGTGCTCCCAGGCCTGGAAGTCTCCCGGCTTCGTCCCCTCCATCTCCTTCCAGGACGTCCAGGACATGCATGCCGACAACCGCCGCGCCAGCCTTACCGATATCGAGGCTGATGCTTCCCGCAAGAGGAGCGCTACCTACACTGAGTACCCTGAGAAGACTGTTGTCTAAGCATGTACCTCACGGATTCTACGAAGAGTTATGAGAGATTCCCTACCACACTTGTAAATACCCCGACTAGCTGTTTGATTTTCGCTTGATAGCGCAGCATTGTATATATCCATCATCTATGAATTATGATACTATCACTTCCATCTACATTACCACTTGCTGTGCTCCCTCTTCCATTCCACCTGTCTTCAATCTCCATCTTTCGTGTCTATCGGACTCATTCCACCGGAGCGAATATAGCTCATAGTCCAGCTCTAATACAGGCCTCTCCACTTGTGCGCCATTTTCCCAGCATGTCTTTAAGCGGACCAACCAGCGTGCGGGCCGTCTCACAACTGTATCTGCCATCGACATCCAGCCGGAGACACTCCGCAGCGCCACGCGCGCTTTCCCCAGATCTACCCCAACTTTAGTGTTGCGACTAAGCTAGCGGCGGACTTGCATCGAGCCGCTCGCAACCTTGATATGCATCACACCAGATGGCTTTTGGTCAGATGTTTGATCAGCGAGTGTGATAGACGGCGGAGATGCGCGTAGGTTGTGATCAATAGTGGATGTGGCTTGTCTAGAGATGCTAGATGGGTCTTCTGTAGGCTGGGAGTAGGATGTCTCTTTGCACATCACGACCCCTCACTGTTTCAGGAAACAGTTACTTTTGATCTGCAGAGGGATGCGCCGCCTGAGCTGGGTGATCCATGTGAGAGATATGCGACAATGGATGGTGGTCATTTAGCTGTTTTCAGAACTTGAGCTGTTCACTAGAGAAAGCATATCCAGTGGGTCTATGGTTGATCTGCAACGCATCAATTGCATCATGTTTTTTTAAAGAGGAGAATCTGACATGGCAGTACAACTTAAAGAGAATACTTATTCTACTTGGTTATAACAACGTTAGAATCCTCATCAACGAAATCTATGAGGATAACATAGAGCAGATAAATGAAAACGATTTGCAGGTAACGGCTTGCAATGGTATGACAAGAGAAGAAGGGTAAGTGTTTCAAAGTTACCGAGAACAGCCAAATAGTACACACGTGGTATGTCATTCATATGTTTCTTGTAATTTTCTTGTACCATTATTGCGACAATATAGCACAACCTCTCAACTCTAGTCTTCATCTTCCTCAAAATCAGACATTCCACACACCTTCAAATGCGGGAACATCTCGTTCCACTCCTTAATAATCTTCTCGGCGACATCATAGTCCATGTTAGAGAAGAAGCCCGTAATAGCCAACTTTGCGATACCTCGCGCAAGCCTACACTCCTTCGTATAGGCCCACTTGCAATACTGCTCACCAACACCTTCCTCAAACGCCTTTTTCACAGCCGCACGGTCAGCGTCGTTAGGTGTGACATGAGCATCAGCCTCATCCATGTCATCGTCATCATCATCGTCTTCATCGACTTCACGATCCCAGAGCCAGAATGGCGGTCGGCAGTTTGTGAAAGCCGGGGCGAAGACGGTCTCATCCCAGTCGAGGATTGCAGATAGCGAGGCAGTGGTGGGTGACACAACGTGAAGGAGCATGTTTCGGGGCTCTAGGTCCATGTGTGTTAGCGCGTAAATGTTATGGTTCAGGTGACCCATTGTGTGGAGATATCGGATGATGGCTTCGAAAGGTTTCCATGGGTTCAGATAGTCGCGGTGGAGGGTAAGATCGTATGCGCGTTGACGAGCGAATTGCGACATGAAGAATTCGTAGACGGTCTGGGGCGTACATGGTTCGGAGACGTCTTCAGACTGACGGAATGCGTTCCGTGGAGGGCATTGTAAGCGGAGAAGCTGGGTGTCTGATGATCCAGCGAGTATGCTATCAGGATTCAGTGTACCGGGAGAGGGGGATTGAATCTCGCCCATCTGCTTCAGTGCGCGACCCAGATCTCTTGCGAATGAAACACGTTGTTGTGTGTTCAACTCAAGATAGACCTCAGTTACTGGCTTCCCCGGAAGACGTGGCTGGATCATATATGGGCTACCGACTGGGTTCTCCGCTGAGAGGCTGAAGATTTTAATCCTGGGTACCGGAAGGTTCGTCGCTGCGAGAAACTTGAGGATTGAAACTTCATGTTCAACCCACGCATGCTCCTGGCGTGGTATACGCAGGACGTAATCTTTGATCTCTGTCTTGCGGATTACACCCGGGCAAACCGTGCGAAGAAACATTTGTGCTTGACGCTTCAGCCAGCTCGTCTGCCTCCAAGAGCCGTCAACTCGGACGCCAAGGACGCGGTTGTAGGAGCCTCCATCCATACGTGTGATTGTGAAGGCGTCCTTGGAGAGATGCGGCCACTGCTTTTCGCACAGCTCCACCGCTTTGAACTGGAAGGTATCAAAGGGCTCGTGTTCAAACTCCTCAGTCGAAGTGGTCGAGTTCTCAGAGCTCGCGATGGAAGCCGCATCATTATCAACCTCTGGTGCAGGCTCTACATGCTCGGCCACGACCCTAGGTGACTTAATGTTATCCGACATAGTTGTTCGAATTGAGAGTCCGATTGGATCGAGCTGACAGATGGAGACAATGGTATAGCTGAGTCTGGCGATATAAAGGTCTTCGTGAACGTTGTGTGAAAGCTGACAGTGTCGGGACAGTGACTTTCACAGAGTAGTTGCTGTGACCAAGTTGAGACCGAAAGACTTTCCGTATGCGAGTGAGATGATGAATGAGCACTTATCGACAGCAGTGATCACACTGCTTTTCACTAATACTCAGCAGGTTATCCAATCGATACTTAATGCGAGCTGAGTGCTCCCTCGTTCAGCAGACGCAACAGGAGAATACTCGCCCACATTAGCAGTCAACCGAATAACTTACTGAACTTTTCTGAATCCTAAATATGGTTCGCACGCTTACCTCGAAGGTAACGCACCACTGTTGGTGCGGTAAGACTGGCCGGTGTCGGAAGCATATAGCGCGATGCCCACAACACAACGTTGACTACTATGACAACGGTAAATGCAAGCACTGCATAGGCGAAGCTAGCGCTGTGGATCGAGAAGAGCACAAGCAGCGACAAGACCAGAGGAAGCAGACCGAAGAGGCAAAGAGACTTGAAGAAGAGTCTTGGTACAAGGAGGGCAAAGGTCGGAAATAGAGATGGAGCTACACTTTTCACGGAATGGAGTTGGGCGTGAGTCGCGACGTTCCGGATGTCGTATGACCTGGGTATTCAGAGGATCGGAAACATTGCCCTAGCAATTCCTGGATGTTAGAGCCATGATAGAGCGGATATAAGCTTGCTATGATACGAGACAACAGGTTTTCCCGAGAAGACGGTTAACAAAGAGAATGAGACAAAGAAAGTGGAGTGGTTTGAACACGTTCTAGAACGCATCTGGAAATGTCGCCCCTGTTACCTTCTGCCATGGCTGAGTGTTGAGAACTGAGTACCTGGGCATTATTTGTTGTTGTACTGCATCGTTGCTCAGCGTGTGTGCGGCGTGTTTTAGTCATTTGTGAGGCAGGGAGGCAACCGGCCGAGCTCGAGGAAACAACTGCAGCGTCCTGAGTATGGGCCAGGGTAGGGGTGCAAAACGAGATTTGCTACCATCAGCAGTACCACAAGACTCGTACCCATACGCTGGCAGAACTGTTATCTGACAGCAGTCAGCACCTCGTATGATGTTTGTGTCTTCCGTAATGCATCGGAGGTAGCCGAACCTTCCTTTGTCGCCATAGCTCAGCGCCCCACTGGCAAACCTCGGCTGGCGTCATCCAGTTCCCCCAAATGCTCCCCGCGTCGCGTCGCACTCTTCTCTTCCCTTCCTTTCCTTTTCCCACCATGTCAACGACCGCCGTACCAAAGTTCAGCCCTGGTGAAGCTGTGACGGAGAAAGATGGGTTGATCCATGGCGTTTCGGCGCAGGAGCTGCAGGTTTTGGGCGAGCAGTGCTTTGATGCTAGGGCGAGGGCTTATTGTATGTTTTCCTGGCTTCTACGATGCAGCGCATGATGGTAGAGGATGCTGAGGACATTTGGATTGGGGGTTGGTACTAACATAATGCTTGATTAGGCCCATACTCGCTCTTCCGCGTCGGCGCATCCCTCCTCCTGACCACCTCCTCCGCAACCGATACTTCCGCAGCCCACACTATCATCGGCGCAAACGTAGAAAACGCGGCCTACCCCGTTGGAACATGCGCTGAGCGTGTCGCCATGGGTACCGCTGTCATCGCAGGCCACCGCATCGGAAGCTTCAAGGCTGTTGGTGTTACAACCGACATCGACGACTTCTGCTCGCCGTGCGGAATGTGCAGACAATTCTTGCGCGAGTTCCTCGCACTAGAGACACCCATCTTCATGTTTAACAAGGAAGGAAAGTGGATTGTGAGGACAATGGGCGAGCTGCTTCCGCTCAGCTTTGGACCCGACGTGCTGCCACCAAGGGAAAAGCTGAGGCAGAACCAGGAAGATGATAAAGCGAAGACGGCATAGAGTGTGTCATGGGAAGCAGGCATTGGCGGCGTTGTGAGGCAGATATCCGGGGTCTGAGCATCTTGAAGGGCGTTGGTGGGAGGTGTATGAGTATGATGGGACTGGCTGTCAGAACCACGTGGTGAATGCTATACAACAGAGCTTCAAAGCTCATAAATGCACATCTCGAATCTCCCTCACAAATTCATCTCCATCACGCGTATACTCATTGGAGTTGTCTGTAAATGAAGCTACCCAGACCCTTCCCTGCCCCACGAGAGCCCCGCGGAAGCCACCATGCAGCCCGATAAGAAGCCGATAAGCTGCCAACCCAGCCAGCAATCGTACGCCTGTTCCGCATCTCCGCGCCCCGTGGATATGTACACTGACATAATACCTCCTGCCCAAGCAAGCAACAGTCAATCAATGGTTAACGATGATGTGATGTCCTATAGACGCGCTGGTGCGCGTGTCTTCTTTTTCATGTTGTCCTTCGTTCATCGCGAATTCCCGATACCCAAGACCCGTGGAGACTTGTGACCATGGCCAACAACACGAACGGAACTGGCGTTAGGGACGCTGGTATCACTGATTCTGAGCACTTTTCGCCATACAGAGCAGATGGGAAATTGGTGAGTGGTCGTCATCCTGGGAGACGAAAAGCAACATTGGCTAACATTGCGATATGATATAGTATGGCTTCGTATGCGTAGTAACAGGCGCAACACAACCCGTAGGCAAAGCAATCGTCGCTGAACTCGCCGGTACATCACACCCCCTCAACCACACCCACAGCTACTCGCTAACACCCCCCTCCAGCCCACGGCGCAGCATGCATATACGCCTGCTCCTCCCTCCCCTCCGAACCCTACGCCTCACTCGCCGACTCAATAAACGCACAATACCCCAACACAAAAGTAATCGGCTACCCCTACAAGATCAACTCCGAAGAAGACACCCTCGCCCTAATCGACGACGTGCTAAACTCCTGGGGCCGCCTCGATGTCTGGACGTCTTCGACCGGTCTACTCGGTCCGCCGTCCATCAATCAAACAGGTCCAAAGGATCTGTACGCCGCGTTCGACACGAACGCCATGCCGGCTTTCTTCGCGCTCAAGTACGCGCCGGCTGCTATGCAGAAGACGACGCCCAAGGGGAGTTATCCTAATGCTGCGCCGAAGGATGTTCCGTATGGGAGTATTATTGTTGTGACTAGTGTTGCGGGGACGTATGGTGGGTGTTGGGCTCCTGCTTTTACTATGGCGTCGCATGCTGCGCTTGGGGTTGTGCGCTCGGGCGTTTTGGTGCTCAAGGGGACGGGTGTGCGTATCAATGCTATTACAGCTGGGCAGATTGATGTTGGTGTCGATTTGAAGGACTGTGGGGTTAAAGAGATGGCGCAAGGCCAGTTTCCGCCTGCTGCGTTACAAGGAGAGGAGAGCCAGAAGAGGACGATTGGGCTGGAGAGGGCGGGTAGGCCGGAGGAGGTGGGTAGGACGGTGGGCTTCCTGGCGAGTGGGTTTAGTAGCTATATTACAGGTGCTGAGTTGAGGGTTGATGGCGGGGCGGGGGTGATGAACCCCATTACTGTTCCTGTTTAGAAGAGATGAACAGCCGATGGATGGCTGTATAGCTTCGGCATTTCGAGTTGTAATATCGTACAAGAGCCTCCCAACCTTCCACCACACATCTAATGTTGCAGCACAACCGGCGCCCCCTTCTCCCAATTCTCAATGCTCTCTTTGATATTGACCCAATACCTTAACTTGACCGCCTCGCTCTTCGCAGCCTCTAAATCGTCCCTCTTGAATGCCTTGTCAATTATCTCCGTACTCTCCGCTATCCTCTCTTCATTTCGCTCCCGCATCTCCACCAGATCTTCTTCATTTTCTGCCTCTTCTATGCTCTCTCTGGCGTCCAAGACCTCCATCAACAGCTCCGGGTCTTCTACCTTCGCTGTCTCATCTTCTGCGACCTCTATTCCGCGTAAGGATAGCAGGTATTGCGCTCTTAACAGCGGGTTCTGGAGTGTTTTGTAGGCCTCGTTGATGCGTGATGAGAGGGCTTCGGCGCGCTTCTTGTCGGCTTGTGGATGTAGATCGGGGTGGGCGCGGGCTTGTAGTTGGAGGAATTCCTTCTTGAGAGCGGAGAGGTCGATGGCGAAGGGGCCTTCTGGGGGCGGGCCGGATGGCAAGGAGTTGGGGAAGAAGGAGTAGTGTGTTTGTGGAACTTGGGAGGATTGCGCTGTGGAGGATTGCTGTGTCTCGAATGGCTTTTCGACTTTATTGGAGCTGGAAGATGAAGATTGGAATCGACGTGATATCGTCTGGGGCGGCATGCGATGTGCGCAGAGCATGCACGGTGTTGCGCGTGGTCGCGTGCGGAATGGCGAAGTGGTGGTGGTTTCGGTGAGGGATGCGCGGATTCTGCGCGCTGCAGATGAACGTACGGAGCGCATTATGGAGATATTAGGAGGTGTATAGGATGGTGATTAGGATACGCGATGCGGTGGTGAGTTTCGTGGTCAGAGTGAGTCTTCTAGAAGCGCAGAGGCGAGAGATTTCCGCGTTGAGTTCCGAATGGTTACGTCATCCGTCGCCGTCTCTCACCCACGGCGATATTGAGGAATGCCGATGAATATGCACTAGATACGTTCAAGGAGCTTTGTACGGCATTTCGTGCACTATGAACAATTCGAGTCATAGTCTGCACGCGGCCTAGGTGAAACCTGGCCGTCTGGATCTTTTGAATATTTTACCATACACAGGAAGCTGACTACAAGAGTAGCTTCCAAAGTGCTTCGACTTGATTAATGTACCCCAGGGATAGACTGCGTCTCTTGCAATAAGAGCAGCCCCTTCTAGTGTCTCAACGACACTGACAGGATCATCCACAGACAACGCCACGGATTTGCGTAGAGAGCATCGTTACTGCCTAGGTATCGCAGCCCACACGGCTTGTTGTGCTATTCTAGCTATGTATGTTCGCGGATGTATTCGAGCCATCGGGCTGACTTCGCGACGTGGTTGATAGTTCATTACTCGCCGTATTCAAGCAAGGCATGCATACCTACAGGCCAATAGTCTCATGATATCAGTCCTTGCAAGGTATCTGACCGAGCAACCTATAACGCCTGGCTTCAACGAGTTGGCTCATGACAAAGGCAGAGTATACCCAAGCGCGACAAACATCCATCTCAAGTAGGTTTCTGCTCACCATCCGAACCAACTCCGCTTTGGCGAGGCTTTTCTTTCGCCTCCTCATCAGCCTCACGCACCCGATCCTCAAACCGTCGCAGCAGACGCCCAGTGGCTTCGACGTTCTTCCGCATCTGATCAGCATCCTCTTTCAGACGCTTTAGGTGCTCAGCGACGTGGAAACCGCTATCGGCTTCGGATATCTCACTGGCACGGGCGGCAGCGTGGTCGAAGTGTCGCAACAACTCTTTTTGTCTTGACCAGGTTGTGCGGATTCGCTCGGTGGCGATGCGTGGGCCACGGTGGTTGCTCTGAGCAACCTCGGCTGAATCGTGTGGAAATTCGTACGGCACCGTGATGGATTGGGATGTTGCGTCGGACTCGACGCTTGATCCTGTTTGCTCGATTTGCCGTAGTTGCTTTAGGGCATCGCGTTCGTGGTACTCGAGGATTGCACATCGGGTAACTATATCAGCGGCCATGTTGTTCAGCAGCTGGATTTCCCGTCGGAGCAGATCCTTCTCTCCATCTTCCTCTGCATGCTGATAAAACTCGTCTTCTTTCTGCCCAAGGCATCCCCAGACGTATTGCCATTCCGAACCGATCTTGTTCTTGAGCTCCCGAACTTGCTCCAACCAGTCTTGTATTTTGCTTGCATCTCTTGACTTGAGGTTGTCTTTGTACGCGCGGTAGCCGTTCTCTACATCGGGTCCTGCAAGTTCGCCCTCCTTGAACTCGGTCTGGAAGACAGTCTCTTTGTCCATCTCAGCCTTCAATGCATGTAGCGGGCTACCATGCGGTGACTGCTGACCACCAGGACTACCGCTAGATCCTCCTATCCCTCCGATACCGCCGAGTTGTAGAGGACTCCGAAGAATAGTCATCGTCTGAGACGTGTGGTACCAGAGCGCAAGTTTGCCGATTCGAGAAAGGGACGATTTGGCCTTTTCGTTCTCCTGCAACTTTTCATACTCTCGTGCCCGGTTTGCGGTTATCGAGTAATCGAAGAGCTGTAGGAGTTGTGGGGGCAGGCGAACGATGTAGAATTGTCCGGCCTTGTAGCCGAGCGCACACCCAACTGTAGCCGCTCCGAAGAATCGCGCGAAGCCGTAGACGCCGGGTAGGGCACGCGGGTTCAGTGCCAAAAATGCGCCCACCACTCCTCCCCCAAGTGTCGCATCTTCCCACGTCCAGTGCTTTGTCCGTTCCCATAACTTCCCCGGCTTGGGCTGTATCCCTTCCATCTTGAAGACGCCCCGGTGCAGTTCATGTCGCCCATAGATTCCCGATGCGGTAAATGTGAGGTCTACGGCACTGATCAAGGCGGCGGACTTGAGGAACACGCCAGGTCGTGAGCGGCCAACAAGGGCGAAGCCGCCAGTAACGGCTGCAGCGGCGATTGAGGACCTCCATGGCGATGCGATCAGATCGCGTTGTGTGGCGATTGCGCCAGGTGGTCTCCCGGTGATGGCATGCTGACTCTCGCCTGGACTATGTTAGAATACTGGAGCTGGGCCTGGTCGCGTAACTCACCTTCAGGAACCAGCAACCGCACCATGGTGGATTATGACTTTTCCAACGTGTGCAAAGGTGGAGGTAAAGCCGTGGTCGCCATCGGAGTTTGATGTTGCGACGTTGATGCGGCGTAGACGGAGGTGCTGGAAGGTACGCGCGCTTCCAAGATTCCGAGGAGCGCGTCCATGATGTCGAGGCGAAGATGCAGCGACCCTTGCGATAGCGCATCCGCTGCGACAATCGTACTTTGAATACCCTTGCATTACCATTGTTATCGCCAGTGCTGAATCTCGATAAAATGCATGCGCC